TTTTTTTTCTAAGAAAAAAAAAACATCCACGTTCTTTTAGTTAAATTTTGAATACTAAATAATAGCAACAAAATTGTAAATTAATTTTGTTCAACAATAATCATTGTTTAATAATCTTCATTCTACATTTTTTATTTTTAAGCTATTGAATTATAACTTAATTTTAGTTTTAGTCACAATCATGTAACTTAATTGAATCTGACTAAAAAAAAATGAACTTTCAAATAGAAACGTTTCTTTTATGACACTTTTATACATCGCAATTATTTGGTTCAAAACAAAAAAAATAAACAAAACAATTGTCAAAGCCAACCAATACTATTTGTGTGAATTACGATGACGTTTGTAATCCTCAGTTATTTAAGCAAACAATTCAGATTTTTTTTTTCAATTGTTTCAAAACGATTACTTGATTATAACGTCTGCATTCTTTTACGTTGACTTTTAATAATCCAGTTAGAAATTATTTTATGTCAAGAATTACTTTCTAAGAAAAAAAAACATCCACGTTCTTTTAGTTAAATTTTGAATTCTAAATAATAGCAACAAAATTGTAAATTAACGTAATTATTGTAATTATTCAAATAGCAAAGTCTTTCTTTTCGCTTAAAATTCACGATTATTTACAAGAGTATTATTATTATTAATTTAATTGAAGAGTGTTTGCTTAGATAAAGGAAAAACTCCACTTAATACGTGCATAAATTATTTAGATAAAGCGTAATCCACTTAATCTGTGTGCAAATGCAGGTAAAAGCAAATGCATTGTGATTTTGATATATAATGTGGTAGACTTTCGTCAGAGTTCAGTAGAAACGTTCTCAAGACCAAGATGAAATCTGTTATCGCAATACTCGCTTTCGTTGTGGCCTTTGCCGCAGCCGAGCAAGATCCTTGCATTTGCACTAAGATATACAACCCAGTATGCGGCAGCGATGGCGTAACCTATGGCAACCCCTGCATGCTGAGATGTCACCAGGCAACTAGAGACGCATCCGTCCTCCTCTACTACTACGGCTCCTGCGATGAGCCCCATACCTGCCCTTGTCACTTAAATTGGGCACCTGTATGCGGTAGCAACGGAAAATCCTATGGTAATCTTTGCGGTTTGGAATGCGACCAGCAGGTGGATTCCGATCTGCAGCTCGTCCACCAAGGATTATGCATTGAATCGAGGAATTCGGATTGTTCATGCTCCGACGTCGAATTCCCAGTGTGCGGAAGTAACGGTGTCACCTACGACAATCCGTGCCTGCTGAAATGCGCCAAAAGATCCGACCCTTCCATCGAGCTTGTCAAATTGGGCAAGTGCGTAGCCTCGAGGGATTCCAGAGCTGCTGGCTGCAACTGCCACAACCGATACGAACCAATGTGCGGCAGCGATTTCGTCACCTACCACAACGCCTGCCAGTTCGACTGCATCAATAAATACAATCCGGGTGTCTTTCTGTTGTCAATCGGCATTTGCTGGTAACTGTCACATCTAACGAATGAAATACATATGCCTATCAATTGAAAACTGTTGTTTTAATGTGAAATTATATAATATTGTTTTCCTATTCCTCAATGTCAACAAATCTTACGTTGATATTTTGAAAGATGTCAATGCAAATAAATAATTTTCATAATTTCGACAAAATCTACAGAATTATTTCTTTTTTTTTTAATTAATACAAGTCTAACAAAATATTCTAATAAGACTATTTTAAAAATAAATAAAGGTTACTTAAGCAATCAACATTAAATATTTAGTAAATAATTCGAAAAAATAATTGTTAAAGTTAATATTTTCATAAATCGCGAGATGTCGCTCCAATAGATTCTAGTGTAAAATTTGTTATGATGCTGTTTGAAAGTACAATTTTGTTTGGAAAAAAGATTAGTTGATGTCAAATTGTCAATTTTCATTACCGTTTAGTTTATTGCAGACCCAAAAGATGGCGAAAAAATCGTTTTTCTCTTTTCCACTTACACACGTACTAAAATGACGTAATCTATTATAGTCTTTATGAAATTTAGACGTAGTTCATTGTATATAGCATATTTAAAGAAAATACAATTGAATTTACATTAACTATTGGTTTTCTAGACAAAACAATTTGTTTCTATGGTTACCAATTTATGTTTTATGTAGATTAACTTTTTCAATCAATATAAAATAAAAGACAAATAGAAATATAGGGTGCAACAAATTCTTGTTTCATTTTTTTTTTATAATAATTGAAGGTAAATTTCCATCAAGATTTGCAAACGTTCCATTTCCATAATTAAATACGTTAACACAATAGGATTTACAGTGTAATTGTTAATTAGTCTTTAAGCAAATTGTTTAATCTTGTGTTGGTGAAGAAATACAATGAATCGCTTTGTTCATATGATAAGTTGTAAGCTTATGTAGTCTTCAAGTAACAAAGGCAGTGGCTGGCGAAATTACGCAAGATGCATAGTCCAAGTGAAGTATGGATGTGAGCTTACTCTTGTTTAATTAACAATAGTATGAATTTTTACAAAGTGTTCATGTTGCTAAGAAATTTGTGAATTTTCGCTGCTAAATATAGAATTCGTGTGCATATAAATTTGATGTTCGTGAGTGGATTTGGTACAGTTTCTCAGCATCCTGAACAACATGAAGATCATCATCTTTGCATTTGCCGCCGTTTTGGGTCTGGCCGTTGCCGACGACGTTTGCCCATGCACGTTCGAATATGTACCTGTCTGCGGATCGAACGGCAGAACTTATGCCAACCCATGCATCTTGAGATGCGCCCAGAAGACCGACGATGTCCTCCAATTCTTCTACCCTGGTAACTGTGGAACACCCAACTTCGATTGCCCATGCACCAAGGAATTGAATCCGGTGTGCGGCACTAACGGTTTCACCTACGCCAACCCATGTCTGTTCAGATGCGCCAAGAAGACCTTCGAGTCCATCGAGATCGTTTACAGCGGAGAGTGTGGAAACCCGAGGGAAACCAGGAACTTGGACTGTCCTTGCACCAAGGAATACGATCCGGTTTGCGCTACGAACGGAGTCACCTATGCCAACCCTTGCCTCTTCAGATGCGCCAAGAAAACCTTCGATTCCATCGAGATCGCTCACTATGGAAAGTGCTAGTTTGCACCCAGTCTGCGCCAACAACGGAATGACTTACATCATCTTATGCAAGCTTGAATATGCCACCAAATAAACGACGACAATCTTGACATAAATTGTAGAAAGAAACATAAAATAATGTAAAAGAAGAAAAATAAATGCAGTGAACATTACAATCTCATTATTAACTACTTTCCTGATCCTCCTATCAACTTCTTAATTATGTTTATAACTAAATTCACGTTGCAACAATTGAATTTAATCACAATGCATATGAATTTAAAGCTGATACAAATCTCTTGTAAAATGTATCTTCACGTTTCATTAAATATTTTAGCAACCACGCATCGAAAATACAAGTTTGAATACTTAAGTCAAACAGATTTGTATCTGTTACGGTTTTCCTTTAAAAAACGTTTTTAACACTCGCAAATTTCAGTGTCTTCACACGTTAGTGATTTTCACGGAAACCGTAGAAGATTGAATAGATTTAAAAGATGCATATGAAATCTGGATGTTCTATTAATTATAATAATGACATTCGGTCGCTGTGAAGGATTTCAATCCATCTTTTCCTGCTTGTATTTTGTTTTATTAACATCTTCAAACTATTCCCCACTTCAACGCAATAGACTTTGCACTACAATAAGTGCACTTAATCTCCAGCTAAATTTGCAAATGGTTTATTCGAAATAATAATGTAGATTGGATTCAGTTAAGATTTCCATACATAAATTGGTCTTGAATAGGCAGATTGAGAACAGTTTGTCAGCATCCTGGACAACATGAGGATCATCATCTTTGCGTTTGCCGCCGCCGTTCTGGTTCTGGCCGTTGCCGACAACAACTGTCCATGCTCGTCGGAATATCTACCTGTCTGCGGATCGAACGGCAAGACTTATCCGAACCTGTGCTCGCTGCAGTGCGACCAGAAGAACGACACGTCGCTGAAGTTGCTGTACACGGGAAAGTGCGGATTTCCCACCGAAATGGAGACCAGAGATTCGCAGTGTCCATGCACGAAGGAGGTGAATCCGGTGTGCGGAAACAACGAAGTGACGTACGCGAATCCTTGCCTGCTGAGATGCGAGCAGAAGACCGACGGTGTCCTCCAATTCTTGTACCCTGGTAACTGCGGAGTACCTGTTTTCGATTGCCCGTGCACCAGGGACTTGAATTCGGTGTGCGGCACCAACGGTTTCACCTATACCAACCCTTGTCTCTTCAGATGCGCCAAGGAGACCTTCGATTCCATCGGGGTCGCCTACAGCGGCGAGTGCGGAAACCCGAGGGAATCCAGGAACGTGGACTGTCCCTGTTCATTCGGCTACTTGCCAGTTTGCGGCAGCAGCGGCGTGACTTACGACAACAAATGTCTGTTGGAATGCGACCAGAAACGCGACACAACACTTACTTTACTCCACTACGGATTTTGCGAATAACTCAAATCAAAATTACATATAAAATATATAAAATAATGTAACTAGAGTTTGTTTATTTTTTTTTGTAATAAATATTATAATATGTGTACTAATACTGTTTTTAACAAATGCTTTAATTCCCACCATCCACTTTGTTTAATAAATTCTTAAAAAATTCAAAAAAATAACAACTTTTTTTTTCAATATTGTCATAAAAGAAACGTTACTACGTTATATATTTTGAACTTTTAAACGAATTAATATTAAAAAAATTTGATCTTAACCAATATTTTACTAAATATTTCCCATTATAACTTGGGCTAAAAGATTACAATTATAAAGAAGTAATTGTTTGTATAATGAGTGTCATAAAAGAAACGTTACTTCGTTATATCTTTTGAACTTTTAAACAAATCAATGTTAACAAAAATGATTCTAACCAATATTTTACTAAATATTTTCTTGGGCTAAAAGATCAGTTCTACAAACAACTATAAAGAAGTAATTGTTTGTATAATGAGTGTCATAAAAGAAACATTACTATAGCAACTTTACAATTGTGTTGCTAGGAAGAATTAGAATCTATTTCAAAACAATTACTACTTAAACACAATAGGCTTTTGCACCGCAATAAATTTAAAGTAAATCTTTAATTAAATTTGCATGTGGTTTAATTGAGACCTGGAGATTAGACGTTCGTATATAAATTGGTCGTGAATAGTGGATGTTGGTACAATTTCTCAGCATCCTGAACAACATGAAGGTAATCATCTTTGCTCTTGCCGCCGTTTTGGCTCTGGTCGTTGCAGACGATTGCCCTTGCACCTATGAGTATAATCCAGTGTGCGGAAGCAACGGACAGACATACTCCAACCCGTGCCAGCTGAGATGCGCCCAGCAGACCTACGCCGACCTCAGATTCTTCTACCCTGGTAACTGTGGAACACCCAACTTCGATTGCCCATGCACAAGAGAATTCAGACCGGTGTGCGGCACCAACGGTTTCACCTACAACAACCCGTGCCTCTTCAGATGCGCCAAGGAAACCTTCGATTCCATCGAAATCGCATACGAAGGATTTTGCGGAAACCCAGTGGAAACCAGGATCTTGGACTGTCCTTGCACCAGGGAATACCGTCCGGTTTGCGCTACAAACGGAGTCACCTACGCCAACCCTTGCCTCTTCAGATGCGCCAAGAAGACCTTCGAGTTCATCGAGATCGCTTACAGCGGAGAGTGCGGAAACCCGAGGGAAACCAGGAACTTGGACTGTCCTTGCACCAAAGAATACGATCCGGTTTGCGCAACGAACGGAGTCACCTACGCCAACCCTTGCCTCTTCAGATGCGCCAAAAAGACCTACCACTCCATCGAGATCGCTTACAGCGGAAAGTGCCTACAATAAATATGTGCTGGAATGTCACCACAAATGCAACATAAACCTTTTACAATCCACTAGAAAGCTAAAACATTATACACGAATCAAGCAATAGAATAAATATTACAAATCGCAATAATAATTTTGTTTTTAACTAATTCCTCTATGCTCTTAGTATAAACTTAAATACTATCTATTAAAATTATAAATTGAATGACATTTGACGTAACCTCAATGAAAACAAAACATGGCTACCAAAAACAAAATCGAAACACTTTATGATGACACACTTAGTTTTTTTACATCAAACAAAACAAAAATAATTTTTTCCTTCTTAAATACAGTAGGCCTTGCACTGCATCAAATGTACACTTAACCTTCTAGTAAATTTGCAAATCATCTGAAGGTTAAACTGATTGGAGATAAAAAAAAAAACGTATATAAATTGATTCTGAAGAGCAGATCGAGTACAGTTAATCAGCATCCTGGACAACATGAAGGTTATCATCTTTGCTCTTGTCTCCGTTTTGGCTATAGTCGTCGCCGACGATTGTGAGTGCACCAGAGAGTACAATCCGGTTTGCGCGAACAATGAATTGACGTACGAAAACCCGTGTCTCTTGAGATGCGCCCAGGAGACCGACGATGCTCTCCAATTCTTCTATCCCGGTGAATGCGGATCACCCAATTTCAATTGTCCATGCACCAGGGAGTACAGACCGTTTTGCGGTACCAACGATTACACCTACGCAAACCCTTGCCTCTTCAGATGCGCCAAGAAAACCTTCGAGTTCATCGAGATCGCGTACAAAGGAAAGTGCGGAAACCCGAGGACAACCAGCAAGTTTGAGTGTGGATGCTCATTCTTATACAATCCAGTCTGCGCCAGCAACGGAGTGACTTACAGCAACGAATGCGATCTGGAATGCGACCAGAAACATGACAAACAAGTTTCCCTAATCCACATAGGAGAATGCGAATATGTAAACCAAAAATATACAAGAATCATCTAATAATGTTAATTAATAGAATAAATGTTGCAAATTTCAATAATAATAGTATTCTTAACTAATTCCTCTACGCTGTCATTAAGTCTATCCTCTTTCAAAATAATAAATTGTAATGATAAATTGACGTAACCTAAATGAAAAGAAAATGTTGACGAAACAAAATGATTTTTTTTTTAATTAGTTTCTATATCAATTTTTTTTTCATTTAAATCATCTTTTTTTTTTCTTTAAAACATTGCATGTTTGATT